AGCCGTTTGAAAAATAATAATAATCTTGATTTCATATTTGAATTTTAAAAATAATAATCAAATGGATCCGTCATTAGATGCGACCATCTGCCAAAATGGTTGCGGTCCCCTGTACTCCAAAATTCATGTGGCATAGAAAATGTTCTGTTATTTTCCTCACATAGATAGTTTAAAATTGCTTAAAAATATATATTTTTTTAAAATATTTTAAGACGTAAGATATTATTTATTTAAAAAATTTAATTTATTGATAATATAAATACATTATTATATATATATGTAATTATTTAAATTTAAATATTTAAAAAATAATATTTTATTATTATTGATGTAGACATTAAATTTCGTCCGAATTATCATTTGGTCTTGTTTGTTAATAATATTATATATATTGTTACTTGATTTGGTATTGTTTGTTAATAATATTATATATATTGTTACTTGATTAGTTACTTGATTAGTATTAATTAATGTGTTGTTTTATTATTATCATTTTATTTTGCATCATTATACATGTCATAATTTATCTATATAAAATCATAATTATTTTTAGTTGATGTCAGCTGTGTGGTACGTTATTATCAGTCATTTTCTAGTCCCCCCACTGCTCCATATATTTTAGGTCTCTAATTTTCTAAAATAAAATCATAATTATTTTTAAATTTAATTTATCTATATAAAAATGGTTATGACAATAGAGATCACCCAAAAGATTCGAATATATGATTGAATCTGAAAACCTTGGGTTAAATTTGCTTAAAGGGGAAACAAAGGCGGCTCCTTGAGTAGAGCTGTACTGTTTTGCCGGCTAAAAGAGACATAAATGATTGGCAGTCGAAAGAAGCATTTGTGAAGCCAGATTTTAGTAATATAATAGAGACCAAAAATGTATGGAGCAGTTGGGATTAGAAAATGAGTGATGACAACGTACCACACAGCTGACACCAACTAAAACCCCGATGATTCCCAGAGATATTGTTCCGACCATACTGAAAGGCAAACTAATGAAAAGACGCAAAAGTAGTAAATCCGGATTATCTACATTCACTTCCCCTCCCTTCCAATGACTCCACTATCACACATATTTCATACCTCAATTCTTAACCATAAAGTATACTATCAATCACAGTTTTTAATTATTACTTATTACATTTAAAAAAAACCTGATTACTATGAACAAGTGGTCCAGGAAACGTTTTTTTAAACTTTTTTACTCTACTTGACTCAATCTAATGTTCAAACCTACCTAAAAATATCAATACATTATTGAAAGATTTCTTGGAATGCTTTTAATTACTTCATCTGGCGGGAAAGGAATCAACGTATTTTCCAGGGTCGGCAAAGATCGATCGACATTTTGCTTAATGACGTTATTGAAACTGTTAACATTAGACTTAGGGGCAAAGCTATTAATAGACTTGATAGTACTAATCAATTGCTTTGTAATGCTTGGGTATCTACTAACCAATCTTTGGTTCTTTTGTAATAGGTTGCTTTGTCTCTTTTGTTAGTTGATTTGTTGTAGCATAACATTGTTATTTTGGATAATAAATTCTGATTATCCAACAACAAAAAAATCAATACCATAGCGTTTGAAGTATCAAAACTAAATGTTAGAGATTGATTTGTTGCAGCATAACATTGTTATTTTGGGACATATTATTAAATATTCGTCAAAACAAATTATGAATGGAGTATATGATTGTTAAGATCACTAGATTTTGTCCATCACTTAGAGAATGTTATAGATTTCATAAGTTGAAAAATATTATTATCCGAAATCTATTCTCGTTCTCGGTCGAAAACTCATTTCCCAAAAATAATAATGGAAGTTGTAGTTCTCTAATGACATATGATAATAAAAATGAAAGAAAAGTGATCGATAATAAAAAATATAGAATTGTTAGGAAGTTAAAATAAAAGAAAAGAAAAATCGTATTACATGTTATAGTTTATTAGACAACAATATTTGTATCAAATATTAATAGATAAACTTTAAAATGATAACGAAATGAATTATTAAACACTTATTTTAACAAAAAAAAATAAACATCTAAAGTAAAAAAAATAGTATAATTTAAATAAATATTTTTCTATTAAACCTATAATTATCGTGAATTGTTTTAAAAGAATCCCACTACAACAAGAATTGGTCCCTAATCTTTCATTTTCTCGAATGGGGTTTTTTTTTTTTATTTATGAAAATCTCGAATGGGAATTTGAAAAGCAAGAATGGGGAGTACATTAATGGTCCCCTAATCGAATACTATATCCATCCCACCACAACAACGTGATAAATGTTTACATTTGCTTCTTGATTGCCTTCGATCAAAGAGACTGTCTACCGCAAAGTTCTTGGAGATATTTTGACGTCCTGCGCAACTTCATCGTTAAACTAAAATTAATGTCCCCAAAGCTCAACTGCTTTGAACTAATTAAAACAAACCCACGTCTAAAAATGTTTCAAAATCCAATGAGTATTAATTAAACATGCTTAATATATTATTTTAAAATAACGTATGATGTAGTGAGTATCTACCTGAGTCTTTCAGCTTTACGTGGAAAGCAAAGCAAGTTGCGGCTAAGTGAAAGCAGGTGGGAGTTGAGAGGGACATGTATTCTGAAACAACAAAACTTTTAAGACAGGGAGGATGCATGTACCCAATTTGCCTATCAAATTTGGAATTCAAATCACTTGCTGAGACTGGGTCTAATATGAATAAAACTAGTTCTTGTTTTAGCATTATTTGTGATTAAGCAGATAATGGTGGATTAACGATTGTCTTTATTAATTTAATTACAAGCCTGTCAAATCTTTGGGTGTGAACTGTGAAATGAAGAATCTGGGTACATGTTTGGCTTTGGACGATGAATTTACAACTAACCTAGATGATATGTAAAATTCCATTTAAGAAAATGAAAAAGAAACCTTAAAGATTCATGTTCCGAGAATCCAAGTTTTTTCAACACTGTAGTCCTCAAAAAGCTGTCATTCTTCGTTTGTTTACCTGCAAGTAATGCTTAACAGAATAATTTACCTCTCGATAACTAAAATCAGGGACGGAAGACTATATATATACACACCTATATGCCTATATGTATAAGGGGTGGTTGTGATGCAACAAATGAAGCTAAAGACCCCAAAGTTTTAATGCTTTAATTTAGCAACAGCTCGGACTTCTTTTACTGGACAAATATAAGTGATTGATGGGTTAAAACAATTATACTATTAATCATTGGGATTTGGGAAGAAATGATAACTAATTGTCCCTAAAGTCACCTAAACATATAAGCACAAATTCATTATGATTGATTTTTATTTTTCTATACTTCATCTTCAGATAGAATAGAAGAAAAAGAGAAGTTAATGATGCAATTCAATTCTGCAAAAACAATTGAAAAGATCTAAACTCCCGAAAAGATGGTCTTCAAGCTGAACAAATCATACAAAAGCCAAAAAACCTGCATGTAATGTAATGGATCATTAAGAATCAACGAAACTGTGTCGTCAATGTCAAGATGACCGAGTTGGTCTAAGGCGCCAGTTTCGGGTCCAAATCCCATTCTTGACAAAAAAAAATTACCTATTGTGGTCGTATTTCAGGGGAAGTGGATTCTGTTCATTTCTTTTTTATTGAAATTTAAAGTTGAAATACTTAATAAACGTGATGAAAGACTATTAAAAATACATTTTATTAAATTATGCTGGTAGAATTTTATAAATATATGAGAAGTTTCTCTTTATCACTTTTATTTAGATTTAAGAAATTAATATAATTGAATAGTAATGTTAAATCTTGATGTTGACCGATGACGAGAAATCTATGGATAAGTAGTTTATATGCAAGTAAGGCCTGACCCACGTTATATGGGGCAATACACCCCAACTTTGATGGTCTAATTACCATTTAAGTCATTGGCAAATTTAAAATTTATTATAATTAAAATTTTGTTCCTCTTAAAATTTTTCGGAATAATTATTGTCTAAGACATTGATAATTCAAAATTAATAGAATTAAGCATTGACATCGGGTATAATTACATTTTAAAACTTTTGAGTTTTAAAATTAGTGAAATTAAATTTATTATTTTTAAATCTCTTAATTTTTATGATAAATTATGCATTTAGTACTTAAACTACAAATTTTGATCCGTTTTAGTACCTAAACTTTCAATTTTTCAAAACCATACATAAAGTTCAGTTTTTGTTTTATTTTAGTACCTAACCATTAAAAAACTTATTTTTTTTTATTTCATTCTAGTATCTCTGTTCAAAATTTAACGTTAATTTTGAAAATATTGAAAGTTTAGGTACTAAACGGGTTAAGTTTATAATGACGGGATACTAAAAGGAAATGAAAATTAAATGTTAACTATGATTTTGAAAAAAAATTAAAAGTTTAATTACTAAAACATACAAAAATTGATAGTTTAGATACTAAATTTATGATTTATCTTAATTTTATGATTTATTTATTTTTTTAAACTACAGTTATTTTAAAGTTAAAAAATTTATACCAACAACCAGTTAGTCTAGTGGGATGAGACATTAGGTCCCTTAAGCAAGGTCAAGGGTTCGAATCATGGCGTTTGCAAATGGAGCAAACTGGGTTTGGAGAGTCACCCTCGCCTCTACAGTACCCGATCTAGATTAGTCGATCAATAGATCGGATACAGTTTGATTAATTCAAAAAAAAAAGATATATAATTTATATATCCACTTCATAATTTAATCTTTCTCGGTCTCCGATAACAAACAATATTAAAAATAATATCACATATAATATCAACTTTTAAAATGAACATAGCGTAGATAAATGAAAAAGAGTGACTAATATGAACAACATAATATGTTCAAAAAACTATAAAAAGATCTGTCTCAACAAGAATATTAAAAAAAAAAAACTCAACATATCACGTGACCTAGCAATCAACAATTCAATATTTAACCTAATAAAGATAATCATCAATCTGACCCACTCTCCCAAATCATCCGCAATTTGTAATGTTCACAGTTCCATTTATTATAGAATCTGTATTGCCCTCACGCTTCCCTTTTAATGCAAACTTCTCCCTTCCCCTTCATTTGCTTTCAGCTTTACATTGGTAATAGTTTTACAGAGAGAGATCTGTTCAGAATTTGTTGGTGCAAAAGCAAAAACAAAATGACAACCATCTCGTCCCCTACTTTCATGGGTGGAGCGCTTGTTTTTGCTATTATGGCTCCCTATGTTGGGGCTCAGTCTGCATCCCCAGCACCTTCTCGCACTAGTGATGGTAATTTCCTTTTCTTTGCTTCCTTTCTGTATTGATCTCAAGAAAATAAAAAGTTACCATTTTAGGTAATAACTGAATATGTCTTCCCCATTGTTCTATTCTTATGGAGGCATTGTCAAAAGCTTTTGTCTTGGATTTTTTTCCAAGTCATTTTTCGCGCAGGAACTTCAATTGAACGAGGGATTGCTTACGTGCTGATGCTGCTGGCACTTGTGCTCACATACCTCATCCACCCATTAGACGCAACCTTCTTTTAGATCATTCTTTACAGCAATTGAGAGATTCGTTTAAGGTCAGGGTTGTAAAACAAATTGGCAAGTTGATAAATCTATTGTGTATTTCTGGGTGATTTGCAACACTGGATATATATTTCTGGGACCTGGAATTATTGTCGAAATATTGCCTCTTTTGAGTCGTGTTTAGCACAGATATCCAGTATACTTGGAACAATCACATCAACACTAGCTGCCATGAATCTTTGTCTTCCATTCATGATCTGTGTCTGCAATGTGAAGCGTAGTGCTTCGGAAACTTGATAAAAGGAACAAAAACAATCCCCACTAGTCACAGTTTAGAAGAATAAAGTAGAGTGAATATTCTTCCATTAGGAGACATTCTTTGTATTGAACTTTTGTTAGTCACACTACAAGATATGCTACTAGGCGGTAGGCACTTCGCAGCGACTTCAACAAAGCAAGATTTTACATCATTTGCTCGCCCTCTAACAGTCTCATACTACTTATTGTTCAGAATATATTCTTTAACAACGAGTTGAATATCTATTGCTGCTTTGCTAGAAAGTGGAAAACTCTATCTGCCGTGCGGGTTACAATATCTGGGGTGACAGATAGCAGCCGTTGCAGTGTTTTCTGGCTTCTGCCACAAAACCAGCAGAGAAATTTGCCCCAATGACACTAACTGCACCAGCTTCATCACCTATATAAACAAGCAATATTCCCCTGACCTGAAAAGGGCAAAAGAAACTGGCATTAATTTGAATGTATTAACGGGCATCAAACGTATCCGAACACGAATCATCACAAAACTTAAAGAATAAGGAAATGGAATCTCACTGTCCAAATTGTTGTCCGACGACAATTCATAATAACTCTCGGTTTAATCAAACTAATGAGGATTAAAATAACTTTTGGTATGTACTAGAGTTCCTACCTGCAAAAGGGTCCTTGCCAGTTCAACAGAATAACAAGTTGCAGAAGGTAAAAGGCGTGCAATTATGCCTGTAACTAATTTGACTTATGGGGTCGGTTTGGAGCATTATTACTTGTAAATCATTCCATTTAATTGCTAAAAGATGTTGTGACTAATTAACTAGGCATGTGGATGCCAACCTATTTCACAACAAAATAGCATATAAAAACAGGGGAAGGAACTCAAGCATGTTCTGTAAGGAATCAAAAAAATTCTGAAGGAATCGAGCTTTAAGTTCATATTATTTTAATGATGAGTGATGTGGTAATCATCCTCTGCCACAGGAAACATCCAGAGGCATATTTGAGATAGTTAATATACTATCTAATTTTTCTTTCGAATACATTGCTGAAACAATCAATTTCCTTCGTGAATTTCTACGAGATTGTTGCTTGGAGTGATAAAATTGAATGGTGTATGAAAGACTAGCTGAAACAAGAACCAATTTCACTGCAATCCCAACAACATTTTGCCACTTCCAGGGGTTGAATATAACTCTAAGCCAGCAAAAGAGAAAACCAGAAAGCCCTCTCCTCGTGCTTCGACCTTCATTTTTCTTCACAGTTCCTTCCACATCGCTTTCAATTGGAGCAAAACAAGCGTTCAACTCTTTCACCACATCCAGGGGTCTTCCTTCGTATTGTGTTACTTGCTTTGCAAGAAAAAATCTGCTTTGCTCCAATCGACAGAGCAGCGAATGCTTATCTCTCAGCTGCCAAGCCTGCAGTTTCTGCACGTAGATATGAACATAAATATGATGGGAAGAATAAAAGAGAAAGAGAGGAAGTAAAGAAACCTTGAAATGCAGAAGGGTGTTCTCAACATCTTTCAATGAATCTCTGATGGCAATCAACCTCTTCCTTTCCTCAAATGGGGTCTGCCCAATATCACAAAAGCGACCCTGGTCTGAACAATGCCTGCAGAAGCTGATACTCTTGTCGATTTCATTGTTCAGCCTGTCGTGCAAATCCCACGCCCTCACGATGAGAGTCTGCAGTTTCTCGTGGTTCAGCTCCATTAGTGGAAGAAGAAAACACAGCCCCCATCATTCAGAACACTCCTGTTCCTCTAACTTTTTAAAGTCCCGTCATTTGCACTTTATTCTGTCAGTTTTGTTTCTTTTTTTTTTTTTTCTCTTTGGCTGTGGTGGAAGAAAAAGGAACCTTGAGGAAGAATTAGGAATGGAAGGTCGGCCTCTACTTTTTAATGGTGTTTTCGCTATCAGGTACTCGGACAAAATCATTGTGGACTCTTTCACTTTGTGTTTGTGTGGGTATGTTTGCTTTAAAGGCAAGTTTTGTTTTGGTTGGAAATGGAACTCACAAGCTTTGTTGTTCCGTACCCCACAGTTCTCATCAGATGCGATCATGTAGATGTGGCCTTGCACTGCTAGCATACATACATTTCCATGGATATGGTCAAGTGGTCATGTCAGATTCCCCATGTACCATGCCATTATCTCCCATCATACACTATGGTAAACATGTTCTGGTTAGGAACTTATGGGGCGTAGTACAGTATTCCTCCAAATTAATCAATAATTAATTAGACTAGAAAAACAGGAGCAGTCTGGTTTGGTGGTTCATTCAGTTAGGGCATAATGATGATGGGCAGGGGTTCGTTGGGCTTCTAATGCTTAAACGTGGTTGGCAGAAGCCAGAAAGCCATCTCATTCTTTAACGAAGCCGAACAAGCTATATTCACCACAATTTCTTTCTTTTTCTTTATTATTCTTTACGTTATTGCCTTTTAGCTGTCTACAAGGGAGAAAATCAAAGGCAATATGGGATTATTTATATATGGTCATCATTTGATGGACAGTGGTTTGGCACTTTCCTCAATCCGAAAGGCCAATAAAAGGAATTGCAATCAGCGAGGAGGCAGCCGCCTCACTCTTCAACTTACCCAAGCACACACATCCACTCCGATTCACCCGTCTGCTTACCATTTCCATTACAAATTACAATTGGACTTCCAATTAAAATTATTCATATACTAACATTTTTCATCAATTTTATATAATTTTAATTGATTTAATAATAATTTAATCTTTAAAATTTATATCTATTATCAATTTAATTTTAGTTTTAAAATAATTTATAAATTATGTATAACTTTTTAAATATCAAAATCAACTCAAGTAAAGGATATTAAATTTATTTCTAAATGGATCTACGATATTTTTATCATAAAATGTAATATTAAAATTTCCTAATAGCTATAAAAATTTAGTTGATATAGTAGGATGAGACACTAAATTTCTTAAGTAATATTAGGAGTTCAAATTTGATGCTTACGAATGGAGCAAACTAAAATAAGAGAACGTTCTTATATTGAACCTTTGTAGTATTCAACTTGAATTAATTAATTAATTAATACCGATAATTATACTAAAAAAATTAATAACTATTTAAAACCAATCAATGAGAAAATAAAGTTAGGAGTCGCAAGATGACCACCCACATATACCCTAATCTCACACGACTCTTAATATTTTACTAATGGAGCTGGTAATGATAGGTGAAACGGGCCCTACTTGTTGGAATTCACATAAAAAAAAACAATCAACATGGTAAGTGGCTGGGATTTTACGTTGGCTCCACTTCACACGGTATCGGGGTGGATTTGCTTGCTGCTCGGCTCACTGCTGTTTTTCCATGACACAACAGAGACTTGTGGGCCAACCTATTTTTCTGATAAGACTTATAATAAAAAAAACCCTAAGTTGTCGGCTCGGCCTAAGAAATTAAGGAAGACTCAAAGCCCAGTAAGCAGGAGACGGAAAGGGTGGATACCGCGTGCCATTCATGTGATCAAGAGAGTCAAAAAGGGGCATCTTTTCCATACCAACTTAATAACTACATAATGAATTGGTAAGTTTTGATTGGTTGTTTCCTCTACTTTTCAATTTATTATTTTAAAAGATTGTATGTTTCCATCATTCCATCTTTTCCAAATGGTCGTTTTCTTTATGTATATACGTTTAAAGGAAGACCATTCTCATCGTTAATCAAGAATTTTCAATACACATTTCTTCCGTCTTTGTTTCAATTTTCATCAATAAAACGCACAAGAATTACAACTTTCCCTTGCATGCATGCATGGACTCTTCACCGTACAACAGTTTGTAGTGAAAAAGAATATTATTTCTCCAAATGTTTCAAGTTCAAGTGATTTTGTCTGAAAAATAGGTGCGTTATTAATGATTATAAAAAATTATAAACGGATATTATTTATTATTACCCCATCTATTCTATTTTCTTCTCTTAAGTTCGGTTTAGTTTAGTTATTACCGGGGTTTGTGCTACATGGGGAGACATTGTCAGAGGTAGGACAAGTGAAGCCGACAAATGAAATCTTTGTTAAAGGCTAACATTTTTTTACCCCTAGTTATTTCCTTGATCTCCAATCCTTGACCAATATGAAATCTTGGTGTCCCGTATCCACCATTTACGGGGACCACTACCTCAAAGTCAAACCAACCTTTGCATTTGTTGTCGTTGTTTCCATATAAATCAGACGTAAAAAGAAGAAATGAACATCAGTATTCACAGGGAGAGTCAACTATTGGGCTACCAGAACCCCTAGAGGCACAGCATGCAACTGGATCTGCTTCAGATCATCATAAATTAGCCCTGGTTTTGAACTCACTTTCCTGTTATCTTTCTACATTATTTATATTATAATACCCTAAAAGCCTGCAACCCACAAACCTCCTTTTGACTGGAAAAAAAAAAAGAAAGAGATACTTGTCGGTGCCGGGGATTCAAGCACGCCCTGAAAGGTGAACTATCGGACCTATTGTTGTAGGTAACCCCGTATGGCTCTTGAGGATAACCCTTTCCGAAACATGGTTTTCAGTATTAATTTTATTATTATTATTGCACTTTTATTTCCTTGGGGGGGGGGGGAAAGGGCAATCTCTGTGGGGTCGACGTGTCATTTATTTACTTTTCAAAGGATTTCAAAATCAACCTTTGTCAAATGGATGGAATAGGGTCCTTTAAACGAGAGTCCGATGGGGGCATCTCGCAGGGCCTTGTCTCGTTTCTCAATCCCAGAAATGTGCTTGTCAAAACACATATACACAGTTTGAAGCCAAGTGAAAAATAGTTCACCAAAACAATGAAATGCCTCTTAAGGTAATTCTATCTAAATAATATACTTTCCCTTTTTTTATTAAAATAGTAATTAAAAAAACAAAATATTTTTTCATTAAAATAGTAATTAAATTCGCCTCAGCTTAATCAGGAATAATAACAGAAGGTGAAATTAGAGTAAAGAAATACAGTTACACGATTTCTATGGACATAAAGCGCTAAAATTTATAACAGTGTAGTGGCTTGCTTTAAGGTGTTTGACGTAAGGAACAAGTGGCACGGAATTGGAATGCCATGCTTAAAAAGAATGGCTCAAATGGCTAACAAGTGTCCAAGGTGGCCCAACTTTAGCTTAACTTGTCAGCCTTACGAGTCCCCCGCCAATTCAGATTTAACATGTAAAAACCAAAAATTAATCAAATATCTCACACAGACAAGAAAAATCATCTAAAGCAAAGGATTTCAATAACCAAATAAAACAATAGAATTTACATTTTACTTGGCATTTCTTTACATTCTGTAGTAGTAGAGAAACACACTAAAAGATACGAGAAAAACCGGAAAGTGTATCCAAAATTCCACTCGGAATTTACCATCAATATCACATAAAATTACGCTCGGCAAAAGTATTTAGCAGGGCAGCAACTTCAGTCCAGGGAAGTGTTTCCAGGCAAAACTAGTCTGATCTAATAGTAATTATCGACATCCCAAGAACAAGAGCCGAAATCGACATCTAATTTAACAGAAATATCGGAATTATCCTCCTGTCCCAATTTACTGTCTTCTGGTAACCTCATTTCATCGAAAAATATTGGTGCAGGGATATCAGAATCAAAGCAATCATATAAAACCCCTGGATCTGTTACAAGATAATCATCAGAAAGTTGGCTCCATCCAGTTCCTATTATCTCTGAAGACTCATCTCTCGACTCGGATTCTGTTTGAAGTTCAGCTTCTTCATTGGACTGGAATCTGAGAACAGAAGTAGGTGAACAGAGAGATTGTGATTCTTGGCTGGAATCATACTCGGAAATCATTTCAAGATCAAAGTTTGTAAGAGCGCCAGGACCTTTGAATCGAATCGCTGCCCTGTCATAGGCCAAGGCAGCTTGTTCAGCGGTGTCAAAAGTCCCGAGCCAGACCCTGCTCCGACTCGTTGGGTCTCTGATCTCAGCCGCCCATCTTCCCCATGGCCTTTGTCGGACACCGCGGTACTTCACACCGCTAGATAAACATTGCTGTTGTTGTCGTTGTGGCTGCTGCTTCTTTGATCTGCTATTTTTTTGCTCCTTCGATTGCTTGGTGGAACTGAATGTAGAACAATCTTGGAACCTGATTTCACTCACATGCCTTTTCACTTTCTTTCGTCTCCCATTTCGCTTTCGTTGCTGGAAGAATCCGTGGCGTCGCCGTCGGTGACGTATATCCGAACAACTTTAGGGGCTTTGGGTTTGGACACCATGGCAAACCGCTTTCTCGATGGCTTCAGTAGCTTGTTCACAAACTCCCTGGATTCAATTCAAATACTTAACATGAAAGATGGGATTTGAATCTGTAAAAGAAAAACTGAAACTTTTTTGGAGAACGAAATTAAAGGGCGAGATACTAGAAGAAGAACAGGGGAGTTCAGTTGCAAGGAAGAGTCAAACTACCAAGAATCGCTGTTTTATAGGAGTATCTTGAATAAAAACTACCTTAATTAGTTTATTATTTCTCTCTCTTTCTTTAATTTTAAAAAATAAGAAAATCTTAATTGCTTGTTAAATGTGTTCAAAATTATATAATCATTAAGATAATTAATGGTTTGGTTTGAAGGCATAAGCGATGGTTACAAAACCGGAGAGTCCGGTGACTCGCTGCGTATCTTTGTGGGTGACACGTGTCCTAAACTTCCCCTCTCCTCCTTTGCTGCTTGGTCCCCAAGTAACAAAAGCCTCACACGCTCTGCTGGCCATTGTGTACTACACGCTTCGAATGCATTGGATACTAGCCCCAATAAATGATGTTTGATTGGCTGCTCGAGTATCACAATTTTAACTCTTAAAATGTGTGTTTCTCAATTAGTGCTACACTCTTCATTTTAACTCTATAATTTCATGTTTCATGGTATGCATGTCAGCTTAATTCTCGAATTGTGTAATGTATGGTTTTAAGTTTTATTCATCTATTTAGGATCTATACAGTTGTGTTGTTTCCAAAAATCCATAGACTATTTGTGGTAGAAA